CCTTTCTCCCACTGTACTTTTATATTCTGTCAATAAAATCTCTTTAAAAAAAGAACAAATTGAACTTAAACAGATTAAATAAAATTCAATCTGACCAGATCAACTAATATAAACATGAAAATTTCAGTCCAAATTTCACAAAATCGTAAGACATGAAACACACTGATAAATCATAAATGTATGTTGCATAAAAATCATACATTATTAGGGTGTACTTTAATGCAACATTTACGATTTAAGTGTTACATAATTTAGAACCATGTGCAATGCTTTAGATATTTACAAACTTTAGATATTTAAGCAACACTTATAAATAAGTGTTGCAAAAAAATCACTCCAAACGTATTACGCAACAAAAATGTAAGTGTTGCAAACAATGTGTTACGAAAAGTCCATTTTGTTGTAGTGAGACCAGTGGTCGGCCCCATGATGATCAGACTATGTCTGCTGATGAGGGCCACCCCGAGTTGCTGAGGAGACTACCTATGACTCGTCTAGCACAGCCAGACTACAAAACGCTGACGATGAGGGCTCCGGGAGCAAGGCTGGAAAGAGCGACAACGAAAAGAGTGATGAGGATGACGAGGATGAAGATGACAACGCAAGGAAAGCCAGGAAAGCTCCTGTACAAAAATGCTGATTCAATATCAAGCTTTCTACGACTGCAGATAAAGAGGTGTCTTACTTGAGAAAGAACACTCAAGGACAGATTATCAGTGAGACTCGCTCTAAGCAACATTATGATGTCCTCTCTTCATCACTCACTCCTCCACAAAGAGTGCAAACATCAAGAAGCCTAGCTGAAGAAATAACCTTGTTTGACGACTATTCAGACCTAGATGTTACCAACCGGGCTAACCCTATAGGCACAGAGACTGATCTTTTCAGTCTCCGGGTAGAAGACGCAGAATCTTGCCCAACTGTGCATGCACAAGCCTCCCTTAGTCACTCTGCTACCTCCCAACAGGTAGTAGTTTCAATATCAGGGGATCTCATACCCACCTCTCTGCCCCCTTTCGGAGCGGTCGAGGATATCTATAGTGACCATCAGCCCTAGGTCACTACCCCTCCTTCTACCACTTTGTGTTTAGGTGTCACCCTCCAAAATTTTCCAATTTTTCTAGGACACGTACACTTTTCACACCTCCGCACTGTACAGGCCCACTCTACCTATCAACAACGATCGGAGATACTTCAATGATGATCGGAAGTCCTGCTGCTCAACAGATAACTCAATCATTATATGCAGGCCACACACCGGTTATCTATACCGATGTTGTGACAACGGTTACTACCCCTGTAACCGGACAGCTTGACCCTACCGACCTTTATGTCATTCTGCAGCGCTTCTTGGATTCCACCATTAAGCCATGGGTGCACGAAGCAATAACCGCTCGGGCACAGGAATTCAGGACCACCCCGGTGCTTCTTAATGACATCATCCAAACCCTAACTCAACTCTCATCCTCTCACTCCCAACAGTAACTCACCCCAATCCTTACCCTATCCTAGTTACCATGCCATTCGATGACCTAACATTTATTATGTTAGCGAGAATTCTGGAAACCAAAGAAGCTCCACTCACTGACAAACAAAGAGCTCTTATTGTGGTACTTGAAACCTAAAGCGCATGCAATGACAGTCTCCGCGGTCACAAACGTTCACATGAGGACCCTAATTATTCGGCTCCTCATGAGGGGGGAGAATAAGAGGCAACGGATACTCGAGCATGGTGCTTCATCTAGCCAATAACCCCAACCTGAACCCTCAAACAACCAAGCTAAATGCAAGAATTCTCTCGAGGGTGCAGATTTTGAGGGGGAGTTTTCAATGTTCTCCTCCCAAGCGTCAATTATCATCAAAGGCATCCTACTGAGTGCTACAGTTGAGGGGGAGCACAAAGAGAAAAGAGCAAAGAGAAATGAGAGACAAGTCCCAATGGCTTAGTAAACCCAACTAAGCCTACCCAAGGGGCAAAACCGAGAGTGAGTGGGTAACTGAGTGAACACTATGAGAGTGAGGAAGCAGAAGGCTCATGTGAGCGAGAAAACAATAATCAATGACATGTCTGCTACCTCAATTGCGCTTTTCATTGAGAGAATTACTCCCAGTCACTCAAATAATCCGGATAATTCCCCATAGGTTCAGGACTGAATTTATTCAGATCCCGGGTAGAAGTCGCTGCATTTTGTCCAAACGGCGCATGCACAACCCTACCCTAGACCCCTCACTTGTCTCCCAACAGACAAGTGCTTAATCATATTTCACGGGGAACCTCATCTATTATTATTGTCTCCTTCCGAGGCAAGTGATACTGACTACAGTGGCCTCAGTCCCATGCCACTGAACTTTCATTGATCACGTCGTGTCTAGGACACAGACACTTTTTAGAGTCAGTTGCAGGTCTTCATGACCCGCGAGAACTTCCATAGGGCTCATCTACTTTAGATGTAGACCAATGATTGGAAGGAAGTCCTGCTGTTGCAACATAGAAATCACCAACATGTTCAGGCCATCACTTTAGAGTTTATCTCTATGGTGATGATAACGGGTGTCTACGCGACCCCGGGGGGCTATAAGGTTTTCATTGCTGATCTTAATGATCATGCCATAACAACCAGAGTGACATCTACTTTAGATGTTTCACAATGACTGGTTGGAAGTCCTGTTAGAACTTTATTGCTTCTATCATTTTACACAGGCCACACATCGGTGTTTACATTGATGTTGTGATAACGGAACACTATGGTGTACCCGGTTTTTATCCTTTTTCTTTTAGTTTTTGTTATCCAGAATAAAAGAATAAAAGCATGACGTCCCAATTCATCGGATCGTCATGAGGGGGAGAATGGTCCACATGCTGTTTACTACCAACAAATCATTCTTGGACACATCTCTCCTCCATCACAAAAATACACAACGGCTCTCTATTCTCTAAAATCATCAGAAATGCCAAGACAACTTGAAATCAAATTGTCAGCAATACTCAGAAGTTAACCATCTCTTTCCGCTGTGTGACCGACGAGATCTCCTCAAAAGCAATCTTTTTCCGCTGTGCCACCTACACATTGAAGGAGACAATGGTCGGGTAATCAAATTTGAAGATGAATCCCATGCGCGCCTGGAAATCAACCGAACACATGCTCCAAAGGCGCCGTCGGAATTCATTCAAGCTGATCAAGAGAAACTTCTAGAAGGCAAGGACTACAAGCAAGACTTTGAAGATTCCTCAAACCCCGACATCAAAGAACAAATTGCCAAGAAGACATCAAAGGGGAGATTGCAAGGATTTCTTCAGAAAGCCTTCTCAAGAAGCCAAGATTCAAAGACAAAGGAAGCTGAGTTGCACTGAAGTTCAAGACAAAGGAGCAACTGGACAAATCTTATCTAAGCTGTCCTCTACATTGCTGAATCAACACAAAGACAATGATATCTGCGCAACAATGCTGAATGAACATGATTGAACACCAATGGGGAGATTGTTAGGAATATTTTATGGTGTCCAATCTTGTTAAATATCTTTGTATTTGTGTAGCTATTTTGTCTAAATATTTTAGCCCATTGGGATCTTTGTTAGCAATTATTTAACTAGCCTTATTAGGAAATGTGTAAAGTGTGCTATTGGGCCCAATGAATAAAAGAGCCCAATCATGCTTAGGTCACATCACACATTCCCTAGGCATATAATTATTGCCTTTAAGGGAATGTGCGAGAGAAGGTTGACAGATTATTCACGCGCATATCATTTTAGTCTAGAGAGAGCCGCAACCTTTGTTTCAAATTGGGGATTTTTTTTAAATAAAACTTTCCTTTAACTGACTATGGTTTTCAAAAGGGTTTTCTTTTTAAAAAGCTATTGAAATTTTTCCAAGAAATTTTCTAAAATGTTTTCTTTATAATTTTTTTTTTAATATCTGTTTTCTAAATGCTCTTCAACAAGAAACTTAGGAATAATAAATCTTATTAAGAAAGAATAAGCTAGGCTACGGGTGAGGTTGTGAGATTGTGAATATTTTTTTTTTTTGAATGGAATTTTGTCAATTATTATAAATTTCTGAAATAGGCATATGTGCATATTGCACGTACGTATGTGTTTGACTTTGTAGGATGTACTATAGGAATGTGACTTTGTAGGATATACTATAGGAATGTCCAAAGAGCATATTAGATATATGCTTCAGGGACGAAGCATTCTTTTAAGGAAGATAGAATGTGACACTTCTTAAATTTGATATAAAAGAATTTAATATAAACTAACGCGTGATAACTGTTAATTGTATTTGTTGATAATTTTTCTTAACTTATGCTTCGGGACGAAACATCTTTTAAGGAGGGTAGATTGTGACACTCCGAAAAATTTAGATAAAATAAATAATTTTATTAGTCAGATAAAAGGTTAGGAAAAAGACATTTTTAATAATTAAGTGAATCAGATAAAATTTTGACATCAGTGACACTTTTAATCAGATAAAAATGTTTCAATAATAAACGTGACATTTTTATAATAACTATGTTGACTAGATAAGACATTGGTATAAATAACAAAAGTGACACTTTTGTAATAAGTTATAATTATACATATGACATAAATAATAAAAGTGAGACTTTAACATTTTTAAGTAGGCAATATCAACAATCAATAATATACAGTACACAACAATAATATATTAATATATTGGAGTACATGTCATTAAGATAAGATAGAACAAGTAGTAACAATAATACATGGTACTTTACCTGCCAACAACACCTTCACATGAAGTATTTGGCTATTTGACATCTTTATAAAATAAAACACCCAATAATAATTGACAATTGACAAACCAACTAGGAGTACGCAGTATTATTAGCCATACATTGGGCAATATACATACATCATCACATGCATGATTGCCGACTATTCACATAATCACATGCATGATGCATACAACCCACGACACATCACACATGCGCATTTATATACTTTAAGAATGAGCCAAAACGGACCAAAACAGGAGCTTCTTAGCTATACCATCCTATGAATTTTTATGTATATAATAATACTTAATACGTTAGTATGCGTGAGATATGCGAGAAAGAGAGAATAGATGAAAAAGAGAGTGAGAGGGAAGGAGATAAAGAAAGCTTGAATTGGAACAAGATCGCCGGAAACCATTTCCGGTCAACTTGACCAAAACCGCCGGAGTGACTACGGAACCGCGGGTCGAAATTACACTGCATGACCATAGGAACGAAGGTCCCTGGGAGCGTGAGAAACCGCCGCTGGACGCCGGAGATCGAAAAGGAAGGATTCGCCGGTGAAGAAGCCCAAGTGCTCGCCAGACTGTCCGACCACTTCCACGCCGGAGGAGGTGAAACCACCGTTGCTCAGACCGCTGCCGATGATCGCCGCCGGTCTACTCCTCTCTCCTGCACATGCCGGCCACCCGACGTAGTACTCCTGTTCTGTGATGAACTTGTTTAAACATGTTGGGTTGGGTTCATTTTTCTAATGATTGACCGGACATGGGGTGGACTCATTTGAAATACTCCGTAATTAATAGGGGGCTGCTTGTTGACTTACTAAAAGTCTAAAGCATGAAGACCTAAATAGAGATTCAGAAAGGATTAAGAAAATGAGATAAACTAAGGTGGGGTAATTAATCTCAATATTCACTACAAAAAAACGTCTAATTAGACACTCAAATTAGTCACTTTTAAATTATGTGACTACTTTCACCACCTTTCTCACCTATAGAGTGAGTGAGTAAATCGATAGTGTTTCTCGCCACTTTTATCACTTCAAATAATTAGTGACAAAGGGCTGAAAAACTCGACCCATGTTACATTATTACCGCATACGTCGTATCACGTACTGCTCGTTTATTTTAATTTCGTGTTGCTACTTTTAATTTTTGTTTATAACTTCCTCCTTTTGTTCTCTTCTTTACAGAACTACCTCCACTTACCCACGTACGTTGCCCACGCAGGTCAAGTACAAAACACAAGAAACATGATAAATCAGCTTGATAAATTTGTAAAACATGCTATATATAGCCGTTCATCATTTGCTCCTTTCTAGCATGCGACATAATTAATGCAAATTCCATGCATTTGATATGGCGCTTAACTTGATAAAGCAGCTTTGATTCATCTTGCTAGGGAGATCAAGGCACACCCTTGCTTCTATGGTGAGTTAGAGCCAAATTAAAAGCATGGAAGATATGATAGTGCAATTCCATAGAAAGTATAGTATAAGGGTATGCTTTAATACTTCGTATAAATTAAGCCTACGAATTTACGAGAATAATTATAATTTATAACTATACAAAGCTTCTTCTATGCTGTACTTTTTGTTTATATTTTAAACTTTAGGATATTTCACCTTTTGCTTTAATGTTTCAGAAACATCAAGTTAATTGTGAATTGAGGAACCACTTTTGTGAACTCAAGAACAATAGCATCTATGAAGACGGATTCAATGCTCCTTCTCCACTGTCAAATATGTGCACTTACGCCTATCTATCTATAGATCGTGTACATGCAATCTAACGATTCATCATCAACAAATCGGAATTATCAAACACATTCTTACAAGTTCATTCAAAAGTTAGTAGAAGCTCAATTAAAACGGTTGTTTAAGGCTCCGATCAAGCGGCCATTGAAGAAGAAGATCGAAAGTGATAACAAATGAATTGTTCATTATGTTCATAAATAATCTGAATTATCACTGTCTATCACAATCTTTGTTTTTTTTTTATATGATGAATCTTTGTATCACTTTATATGATGAATCTATCACTTTTATGCAGTATCTGTGTCTTTGAGTTACTCTATCTCAAATGTCAATAAATAATTAATTATACTAGTACTCCACTACATAATAGATTTAAATTCGCACTCTGTATTAATTAATTGAAGTTATATGTTGTGAGTACGTATTATCTAATTTTTTTAATTTAAACTTTTTATTGTATTGACCAATAGTTACTTGCTAGTAGTTATTACCAAGTATAAAATAAAATGACATCCAAATTAATTAATTACGTACTCTCTCAGTTGATGCGTCTTTGATAAGTCCGTATTTAGACACGCATTTGATGCGTGTTCAAATCGGATTTTGATGATTTTCCTGGCTTTAAGGCGTTGCAAGTCTCAATTTTGGCTCAAGTTGTGTTTAATAGGCGTTGGATCGAGTTTCATAGCAATTGGAGTTGATTTGAAGAAGCTAGAGTCCGGCAATCGGCGCTTGAGAGGTATTCGGGAAGGGTTTGAAGGCATTCGAGAGAGATTTGGAAGATTTGGAGGCCACCGGGAGATTCACGACGAGATTCTGGTGAAGAAAGAGCATTTGGATCGACCTTGTAGGCATTCGGGAGCATTCGGAACGAGAAACGAAGAAAAACAATGAAGCAAAGGGCAGGCACGGCCGTGCCTAGGCCAGGCACGATCGTGCCTGCCATCTAAATCAACACGGCGCTACTGGTAGCCAGACACGATCGTGTCCGGTGCAGGCACGATCGTGTCTGCATATTTTTTACGCGTCCCTTCCGCAGGCACGGTCGCAGGCACGATCGTGCCTGGCACCGTGTCTGACCCCGTTTTGTCCTAATTCAGCTCAAATTCTCCTGTTTTCTATAAATAAGGCCTCCATACCCACTTTTGGGGTTACGAACATTACGGAGAGGCCTAGGGATGAATTTACTTGCGTTTTTACGATTGTTTACTCCAAGACCCTGGGATTATTTGTAAGTTCATCTTTTTAATTAATGACAATTATTTCTATTCATCCCAATTCTGTTGATTCTTCAATTATGAATTGTGAGTAGTTTAATTAGGGATTTGGGATTGATGAAGGGGTTAATCATGATTGATGGCTAGATTCTTGTCGGTTTAGGATGTTTTCTTTTGGACTGAAATTTGCTGGTCTGGTCTGGTCTGGTCTGTTTAAGTCTGGTCTGGTCTGGTCTGGTCTGTTTAAGTCTGGTCTGGTCTGGTCTGAACTGGTCTGGTCTGGTCTGGTAAACGTCTGGTCTCTGTGTATTTTATAACTACGGAAGTCTGGTCTGGTCTGGTCTGGTCTGGTCTGTTTAAGTCTGGTCTAGTCTGGTCTGGTCTGTTTAAGTCTGGTCTGGTCTGGTCTGGTCTGTTTAAGTCTGGTCTGGTCTGGTCTGGGACTGAAAACAGTCCAAAAGAAAACATCCTTAATTGCATGAATGTCGTTTAATTTGTGTTTGAATAATTTAATTGATATCTCTTGTAACCTAGACTGCAGCTAGAATTACAATTGCTTATAGAATAAATTAAGAGAGATCTAATTTGTTCTAGGACACATTCACACACACTTAATCGTTCGCTAAGAGATTAGTAGCGATTAAGGGGCCGTAAGCTCGCTCGTCTTGGCAATAATTTAGGATCTTGTCGCATGAGAGATCAGCCTGGACTCCTAAACTATTGTACTCTACGCCGCGAGAGCGGTAAGAACTTAGTAATGATTAGCTAGGCTCAATTAAATTAAATTCATGTGATTAGACCTGTTCTGCCAGAAATCTGGTTAACCCCGGAATCAATTCCTGTTCCCTTCGTCGTTAATTGAGAAGAAACCACTTTTATTTTAATCGTTCATCTGCATTAGTTTTATTTTTAAATTCAACCAACCAACCTCGCACAATTGCACATTTATTTTATTTATTTCTTTTTAATCGCTGAATTTAGTTAATCTTTATTTCCCTTTTGTCCGTCCCTATGGAGACGATACTCGTACTTTACACCACTTTTCTACAACTATTTTAAGTGCAAGAAAACTCACATCAGTTTTTGGCGCCGTTGCCGGGGACGGTGTCGGATTTAAGGGTTAATTAATTTTAGCGACTTGTTTTTAGTTTTTCGTAGGATTTTTGTCTACTAACCTTGCAGGTCAAATCTGTTTATGCATACACGCTCTAAGAAGGGAGAATCACTAGTCCCTCTTAATCCTGAAATTGAGAAGCTCGCTAAGCAGAACCGCAAGGCCTTTAGAGAACAGAAAGCAACAATGGATCAACCATCCGCATCTGGAATAGCTGGGACGTCTGAGGTCCAAATGTAACACCGCCCCCAAGTATTTGTACTCTATCAAGTCATGTACTGAACCATGAGGAATGAATAAACTCATATTTACGCAGTTGTAAATTTTTATCATTCTTTTACGTGGATAGTAAAATTCACGTGGGGCCCACACCAGGGGTGGGGACCGTCCGATATTATCGGGACCACATATTATATTCATCTCAGTCTAGTTAATATGTATATGATGGTGGATGTCCATGTTGGGCCATATAAAGTTATAAACCATGTGTGTGGCCAGTTGTGCATATGAAGCCCATCTATCGGTACCCGGATGTACTGACAGATAAACGTCATAATAAATTATGGAGACCGCTAAAATAAAAGTTGGGGAGTATATATTCATTCTAAAATCCAATAATGATTGGAAGAATGATACATATTTCATTTGACCCGATAAAATGAAATATAGTTAAAACAGTCCGGGAAATACAACTTTCGGGACCAAGTGTACACTTGGGGGACACAAAGGGATGACCCTCCACATATGTGGGGGCCACCCCACGACCTTAGTCTCCCAAAGAGCCAGGAGAGCCGCACAAATAGATAGGAGAGGGGGCATGAACTGATTGGGGTCAAAATGATGAAATTAAATGGGACCCCTCCCATGTTATTATTGAGAGAAATGCCAAAAAGGCACTCTCAATCATCCCAACTCATTGCAGCTCGGCCATACCATCTTCTTTGGGGGGAGAAGCTCTGAAAATACTCCATAGCACCCACCATTTTCGCACAAACCAAGAGGAAGAAGAAGGAGGAGAAAAGAGAAGAGAAAAGAGGAGTTTCGGGTGGGAAAACTTGTGGTTAACAAGGTAAGGACTTCATTAATCCCATTTCTTCTCTTTAATCATATTTCATACTCCTAGGAGAGTTCTACACATGTAAAAGTGTAGAATGGGAGTTGGAGGGTTGGTTTATACCCAAAACGGATTTAGAGAACAAAGTTGACCGTTTCGCCGGAAAATAACCTTTTAGAGGTTATTTGTATTGATATGGGAGTTATGATGATAAAACCTTGTTATTAACTTGTATAAGGTATCCCAAGAACTTTCACGGGGTTGAAAGGGTTGCCGGAGTTGTCGCCGGAGTTAGTTGAAGTTCACCGGAGTTTCACCGGGGCCAAATCGGGGAGGCTAGAACTTCATAAGCTTCATTAAGGTGAGAAGACGGCTATATGCTTTATAACTTTTGATTGAGACATGAGATTACCTAAAGTAATCAAGGATATGTTTTACGGAATGATTAAAGTTAATCGAGTATGGGCTTATGCCATGCTTATATATAAAACAAAGTTGAAAGGCATGTTTTGTATGTTTGGTGATAAAAAATGTGATAACTTATTATGTACAATGATCCAGGGGTCAAAAATGGTATTTTTGGATCAAGGACTTCAAGTAGAATATGCGTGTAAAATTTCACGTTAATCGGACTCCGTTTGGGCGGTCAAACGGGCGTTGACCGCCAAGTCAAATACAATACCCGACCGGGTGTCTGCTGAAAAATTGGCCCCAAGGGCCGCTGTCTCCTATACCCGATCGAGTATGGATAGATACTCGATCGAGTATGCCTTGAAAATTAGCCTTATGGGCTCCTGTCTCCTGTACTCGACCGAGTATTGATGGGTACTCGATCGAGTATTGGGTTATACTCAAAACGGGTAGTTTTTGAGTGGGTTAACGTGGATCGATCAGGTGGGACCCGTCCACGTTGGTTACTAAGAATTGTTATATGACTATAGGGCTAGGTATTGTCCATAGTTGAGTGAATAAAAGGTTAGCCATGTCCAGGTTAGGGTTTGGTTAGAAATAAGGTTGAGGTTGAGCATCCTCAGGACGGTAAACGATCCTAAAACTCGGTGAGGTTGAGTATCCTCAGGACGGTAAACGATCCTAAAACTCGGTGAGGTTGAGTATCCTCAGGACGGTAAACGATCCTAAAACTCGGTGAGGTTGAGTATCCTCAGGACGGTAAACGATCCTAAAACTCGGTGAGGTTGAGTATCCTCAGGACGGTAAACGATCCTAAAACTCGGCGAGGTTGAGTATCCTCAGGACGGTAAACGATCCTAAAACTCGGCGAGGTTGAGTATCCTCAGGACGGTAAACGATCCTAAAACTCGGTGAGGTTGAGTATCCTCAGGACGGTAAACAATCCTAAAACTCGGTTGAGGTTGAGCATCCTCGGGACGGTAAATGATCCCAAAACTCGGTTGGGGTTGAGTATCCCCGGGAGGGTTAACACTCCTGAAACTCGGTAGGATATTATGAAGGTAGAATGTAGCTCTTAAGCTAGGCATTCAGGAATGAAAGGGGAAAGGTTGGGTGAGTACCTTGTCTCTAAAAGACTCTTTTGTGAGAAAATGACCTACGGGTCAAGTATTTTACAAGTATATACACTATGTATTATCTTGGGAATGGGGTGACAATGGTTACACCTATAAATATATGTATCATCCTATTTTTGGGTCTCGTGTCTGAGACATTAGTTATTCCTCATATAGCCTGCTTGTCACTAGTACTTCTATGGAGTACTGACCCCTTCGGGGGCCCTCACATTTTTCAGGTTGAGGCTAGAGTCCTGCTACCTGCACCTTTGCCCAGGGTGAACTCAAATAAGGAAGACGTGGTTCGTGCTTCCATTCTTATTTGAAATTATGAAATTGCTCATGGATATTTGAACGATGTTTTCTATTAAACTATTGAAGGGCCTGCGTGCTCATGTTTGCCACGTGTGGCTAAATGTCAAACATATTTTATTTCCGCATTTGTTTGATTTATATATTGATGTTGATTGTATGGGTTTACTAATCGGTTTGGCAATAGAATC